GGGGGGGGGGGGGGGAGCAGAGGAAGCAGTTTAGGTTTGCATGCGTGCGACGCCACGAAACGTACAAAGGAGTGGTGTGCAGTATCTACATCGACGGCATGCATGTTCTTCACCCCGTCTTCCACAAAAGAACCGAAATCTGGCCAACATAAAAGTAAATGAAGTGCTTTGCCTCGTGCACAACGTCAGCACCAAAGTTGCGACCAGCTATGCACTGCCAGGTGGGGTTGTGGCGCTTGTCAAACTCCTTCTTTATGTACGCGGCAATGTCCTTCTCCATCTGATGCTCCTTGATCGCCTTGGCGGCAACCGTCAACGCGTCGTTCTGCATCTCCTCACTAATGTCGGCGAACTTCACGTTCGGCTTGCGGTCGCTCATGATTGAGTGACTGCGGGCGAGAGAGGTAGGAACTCTTCTTACAAACTACAGGCGCAGACACATATGCAGAAAGAGAGCGAGAGAGAGGGGACGAAAGAAGGGGGAAGACGGGAAATGACAAACGGTTTTCAGGACACCATATCACCACGCATTGAGTTCCTGTCCATGAAAAGCAAGAATACATTTTTTTTTAAAGGGAGCCAAGAAAAAAAAAACATCCTTTCAAAGAATGTCGCGTACAAGATCCCAGCATTCCTCATTTTCCTTCTCCTTTCCATTGTCTTGATTAACTCGGTGAGGCTCCTGTTGCAGATCGAACTGCCCTTAGCTCCTCGACGAGCTGCTTGTTGATCTCCAGAAGTCGCCCAACCCTCGCCTTAATGCTGGCGTTCTCCTGCTGCATATCCTCTTGAGCCTTCTTCAGCTCTTCTTCCGTCCGCAGGTGAGCCTCTAGCTTTCCGCGCAGCCGCGTCAACTCCTCGTCCCGTGCAGCGACCTCCGCCGCAAGGCGGTTCTGCGGCACCGCATCCTCCCCCGTCTCATTTTTCTCGGTCACCGAGTCACTTGATGCCGCGGGCACTGTTGCTTCTTCTTCAACTTTTGTTGGTGCGGCGTTGGTATCCGTTGGGAGGGCGTGGCGGAGCAATTCGGCGCGGTGCAGAGCCTCACGCAGCGACGTCGCCACGTGTCCCACGCCGTTACGAAGCAACTGCACCTCCACCTCGCCACTGCCGGGTGCATCACGTGTCGTCATGGCTGTCTGCATATGCGCAAGCTGCTCCTTCATCTCGGCTATGCCGCCACAGAGCTGTTCGAGCTGCAGAGCCAACTGCTCCTGTCCAGCTGCGGGGGTGGGCGCCGCTGCTGTCGCGTCTTCGGCGTCCTCTGCCGCGTCTGCAGGCTCTTCCTTCCCGGCCCACTGCTGCAGACCGTGCTGCAGCTGATGTACCTGTTCAACGAGGGCCACCTCGCGTGTGAGGGCCTCCTGCAACGACGTCACCAGACGCGCGTTGTGGCGCTCCAGCAGCTCAATCCGCTCCGCGCCGCGAAAGGCGCCATTGTCGTCGCGCAGGCGTTCCTCCTGAAGCGCCGCAAGCTCTGTCAGCGCGGCCGCACGAACGGCGCTGAGTGACGACACCTCTTCCCGTAGCATTGCGATCTGTTCCGAGGCCTCCATCGCGTCGATTGACTCTTCGACGGACACCTCGTGCATCAGCACACGCTCGACAGCTGTGAGACTGTGCTGGTCAATGAGCTGCTCACACTTCGCTAGCTGCTGCAGCGCAGCATCCCGCTCTGCCGTCAGCACACGCACCTTCTCCAGCAGCACACCGACATGGCGAGCGTCGGAAAGGGATGAGTCGAGCAGACCTGTCTTGGTCGCGTCACTCGTTTCCAACTCGTCTGAGACAAACTGCAGCGCGTGAGCGAGCGCCTCCCGCATTACCGCGCGGGCCTCGCGCTGCTGCTGCAGCTGCAACGCCGTTGCATCGACATCAGATGTGTTCTCGCCATCGGTAGCGGTGGGCTGCAGAGACTCGAACAGTGCGAGGAGTTGGGCGACTTGCTGCTCGAAGGTCGCCATATCACTGGTGCGTTGCGTCTCTGCCTCGCGCACTACCATCTGAAACGCCGCCAAGGCTTTGTTAAGGTGCGCGTCACTCCGCTCCATTGCCTTGTTCCCCTCTTCGACAAGCCGCTCCGCCCGCGCGTTGATGCCCCATCTTTCCTGTTCCTCCACTGTCAGTCGATGTTCCTCTGCACGCTGAAGGGCGGTAGACATTTCCGCGGCAGTGCGCTGCGCCACCGCCAGCGCATCGTGCAACTGCGCGGATGCCTCCTGCTGCACCTCGGCATGTGCCACTGCAACGGCACTATGCGTGTCCGCATCCACCGCGTCGGCGCACAGACGCTCCAGCTCCGTCTCGTAGTGCCGGCGCAGCGAGGCAAGCGTGTGCGCCACCTCGTCAGCGTCCGCGTCGTCCTGCATCTGCCGCATCTTCACCTCCAGTGCGGAGCTCCGCTGCTGCTCCTGCGCCAATGCCTCACGGGTCACGCCGAGCGCCGTTGCCATTTGAGCAGCGTCATCGAGCGCCCTAGTATAGTCAGTGCGCAGCTGTGTAAGCTGCCGCACGAGCGTGTCGTTACTGCTCGGGTGAATACGCTCCCGCACGAGGTCGACAAGTCGGTGCTCGACCACCTCACGGCGCCGCTTCTCCTCTAGGAAGCTATGGTGCACCGTGAGCGCCTCCTGCCGCAGCGCCTCTACGGACGCCTGCAACTCGCCGTAATTCGCCTCTGCGGTGACGATGCGTACCTCTTGTTGGTGCCACGAGTCCACCAGTTCGGAGAGTGTCACGTCCTTGTGCTCCAGCAGACGTAGCGCGAAGTACTCCGGCGCAGTGCGCTTCAACGCGCCGTTGGGCGCCTCCGGCGGTGGACGAGGTGGCACGAAACTCGGCGGCACAATAGCGTGGACGATTCCCGCCAGGTCAAGGTGCTTCTCCAGCAGCCTCACATGCGCCTTGGCCTGCCGCAGGTCGGAGTTGGCGAGGTCCACATCCTTGCTCTTCGCAGCAAGAAGACGAACAATAGTGATGAGCGCTGCAACCTCCTCGTGATGCCGCAGTGACGCACTTTGGTAGAAGGAAAGGGAACTCCGCAGGCGGGCGGCGGTGAGTTCATTCTTCGACAGTGAGAGCTCAGCATTGAGTGCCCGACGCGAATAGTCCTGAAGTGCTTCTAGTGAACTCCGAAGGAAATCACGCACGTATGAAACAAGCTGTTCATTTGTCGCCTGTTCCCCTGCCAGTTGTGACGAAAACAGCGCGACAGCCGTGTTGTTGGCGGCGCCAAGCCCCTTGGATACCTCTGCCGCAGCCAGTGAAGCCGAGCTCATCAGCTGCTGCTGCAGCGCGGCAACAGACTCCGCTTTACGCCGCGCATCCTCCGCGCAGCGGAGGTGGCTGAGCGCCGCAGCTGCACGGCTCTGCTGGCTCTGCGCCAGCTGCTTCCACAGACGAGCCACGGAGCCTCCAGAGGCGTTCAGCGCGTGCGCCACCTGCCGACTCTTCCGCAGCACCGACTCGAGCACCGCACCATTCACCGTCGCAACACTCCCTACGATGTCATCCACCTCGGCCGTCATGCCCCGAATCGCAGCGGAGACGCCTTCTACCAACACGTCGTCATCACCTCTCCCTCTTTTACCACGGGTAATCATCGCGCCACTACTAATTCTCGCTCTTTGAGCAAGAATGCCACTCACCACATGCAAAGCACAAAAAAAAAGAGAAAGGGATGCATTTCATGTGTTGGTGTCTCGGTGCAGAGAGAAATGCGCGCCTCCATGCCCAACGAAGGACTCGCATGAAAATATAAAGACAAGTGATATATATATATATATATATATATGCGTATCTATGGGGTGCGTCTCTCTCTCTCCCTTTGTTTACCACCTTACAAATGTAGAGAAAGGTTCGCAAATAAACAAAAGAAAATGAAGCAGCCAGTCGTATCGTATTTCACACTTCATCAATGTCATAAGGTGTCCTCCGCGTAACAGCTGCAGTGGGGGGCGGAGGAATCGACTCATCGTCTGACTCTACTACATCCCACACATGCGATGGCAGCGTCGAGCCACTGAATGATGCCCCACTAACACCTCTTCCTTTTGACTGCGCATCATCCTCTGCGAGTTCAAACCGCACTTGCTTTGATTCACAAGAGGCCTTGCCGCTACCTGCAGAAGCAGCAGCAGCAGTAGAAGAGATATCCCCCTCCCTCTTGCACGGAGACACAGCGGCGGAGATCTCCAGAGGCGGGGCGTCGTGGAGTTCTTCCTCAATGTGTGGAACCGCCGCCATCGCCAGCTGCGTGGCGACCGCCGACTGGCAAGCGAGGATATCGTTTAGTTTATCATCCATGATCTTTGAATTGTGGGAAGTTAGCCGTGCCACCTTCTGGAGTGCGCCGCGGAGTGTGGCGACATCACCCGCCTTTGCAGGATCCATTGAAGCGATCAACTCCCTCAACATCTGCCTAGTATCGCTGAGGAAGTTTGTATGCTCATTTTTCATTTCATCAGCAATTGTCAAGGGGGGCTCCGTGCCATGATGCATCACCTCTACAGCCTTCTTCATGCTGGCATGCAGCTCGTCTGACCTTGTGCGAATGGACTCCACAGAAAGCTTCAACGGAAGCAGCTGAGCCTGCAGCACCTTCTGCAGAGTCTCTGTCACAGCCTGGGAAACAACGGCGCGGAGGCCCTCATTAGACTCCTCATCCGTGTTGCGACTCATTAACGGCCCCATTCGGTTGCCTTGATTACAGACGAGGGGCGAGAAGGTCCCCTGTGTCCACTGAAGTGGAGCAAGATTCTGTTTCTCTGGTGTTCCTTCGTGTGGATTGAGACACTTCTTCGGTAGAGAAGCGAGATGGTGTCGAAGTAGCCACTGCAACACATGGTTTCGTTCCTCCAGTGCCTCTACCTCAAGACGATGGCGCTCGCAGCTCTGCGTTAGCCAAACCTCGGTCCGAAGCATGTCGTCAATCTCTTCCTGCATTTCCCCTGCCAATTCCGCATCAGTTGCGTGCTCTCGTGAGAGCTGCAGGAAACCCTCATCTCGGATGTCGAGCTGCTGCTGCAGCGATTTGATTTGCTCCTCCTTGGCCCCCAACTCAAGCTTCAGTTTTTCATTGAGCTCGTCTACAACCTTCTTGGACTGCCGCAGCTCCGTCAAGAGCCCACCCTTTAAGGTAGACATTGCATTCCCTCCTTCTTCACTGGTGCGCGGCTCGATACGGCGCGTGATGGAGGGGGAGCGTTGATGCATCGGGCTCGGCGAAAGACCGCAGCATGTTGAAAGGAGCCCGACACTCCCGCGAGGAGAGTCCGGCAGCTCGCAATGAGAAACAAACGATCGGTGCTGCTCCCTCCGGCCCATTTCCACGATGCTCACGTACTTGGCCTGAAGTGCGGTGCGCCAACCAGACTCCATGGATGTCAACGCCACCCTACCGCACCTCTCAGTCTCCGTAAAAAAGAATGACTCACGTTGGTGATAGAACGCAATATCATTCGCGTAACGGTGGCGTAGCGAAGCCAACTCATACTCAGAACGCTGCAGTTTATCTTCGGTTTGTCGTAGCTGGCCCACAAGCTCCTGTATCTCACGGTCCTTGGTCAGGTTATGCTGCCTGCTGCGATCAAACGCCTGAAGCGCTCTCTCCGCTCGGTTGGCGGCATCAACGCGCTCCGCGTCAACCTGTGCGATGAGGCGTTTCAGGTGCGCGATCTCCTCCAGGTACGATGCCTCTACGCCTTTAAGAGACTCACGGATGCCATTAATCTGTGCACAACGCGAGCAACCTTGTCTAGGTGTTAGCAGACCCTGCGTGACATCATCAACAACGGGCGAAGGGTGATCGCTTAAGGATGTGCACTGTGTAACGGCATTTTTTCCTGCGAACGTGATGTGCGACGCCTCGAGGATGTGGCTGAATTCTTTGTAAGGGGAGTAGTTGGTGCGATCGCAGCTTTGCGACTGGTTGGTGTGCCCGTGTTGTGTCCAATGCCCCTGATTTGACGGCAGCGGCACCTCCGCCGTTGGGCTCCACATGACGTGCAGCTGTCGGCGCTACGCGACGAAATTAAACCACAGGACAAAGCAAGCCAACAACAAAAAAGACCGACAAGTAGGGAGGAGTGACAGCCTCAAGAAGAACGATCATACCAGGAATATTGGCGTAGATTCGCCGCCCCTGCATGCAGGTACACGCAGTACAAAAAAAAAAANAAAAAAAAAAAAAGGGGGTAAACGAACAAAATAAATTATCCGGCTGTAACAAAGCGGTTTAAATATTAGACAACGTGCGAGCTCGCACAGGAGTGCACATTCGCAAGCACACATGTGAGAATTCACCCACTAAAAGTAAATGGGATTGGGGTCGCATTACCTCGTTTTGGTTTTTTTTTTCGTTTGCAATAATATTGTTCGTCCGCTTTTCCCACGCATGCCGTAGACAGCGGACCAAATGTAGGCAAAGTGGCCAGTGGAGCGAAGCACTCCAGCAGAAGTTCGCTCCCCGCACTCACATCAATGAGAAAACGGTTTGGAACACTACAGCTTTCGAGGTGGCACAACATTACCGCCAAAGGATGGGTAGCTGCTCGTGGAATCATGATATACACGTCGACGAGGAAGGACCCTGTTGGCGCCATTCACATAGTGCCCCCCTCTTGTGGATTGGCGCGCGCCTAGGGGTTGAGGCGCTGCCGTCGCAGTGCCAGGTCTCAATGCCCTCCTGTCGCCAATGGGCTGAACACCACCACCGCTGCCACCGCCACCTATGCTATTGAAACCACCGCCACGCCCGGCATGCCTGCCGTTCGCTGCCTGGAGGCCTAAACCCTCAGACATGGTTGGAATCGAAGGATACCGGTCAGCTAAATGGCATATGCTCTCACCAATTTCAGGTTTCAGTGGAATTCCGTCACCCATCTTGGCTATAGGAACGCTTTGGATTAGTCTCATTTCGGTTTCTTGTAAAAATACATGATGCTTCATCCACTCGATAGGGCATCCAAATGACACATTGGTGTCTGAGTCGCGTTGTGAAAGCAACCGTGCGTAACCAAAAACGGCGGGACACTCTTGTAGCACGAATATGATGATAACTGGTCCCCTTTCCAGCGTTGAATAAAAGGCGCGTCGGTTCGCTGGGCTTGGCCAAAAAACACCTTCCTCTATAGATTTGTCCACTTCGCCCTTTTGTATCGATGCCGCAAAGTAGTAGGAACTCGCATTAACCACGCCCCCAGCCAACGCCGCTGGCGGTTTAGGAGCCCCATTGGGTCCAACGCCATGCCCAGACATGCCACCGGAACGCTTTGAATTGGTACTTCGGCCGTGGCCAACAACAGGGTCAACGTAAGATGGGGTGACGCTACCAAGCGCGTGAATGCTGGATGCTGCCGCTTGTGGTGGTGGGAACACCGCACGTGAGGGGATTCTGTCGCTGAGAGCAATGCGAATGAAGTTCCGCGGGAAGAACTCAAGGAGAGGAGGTATCATCAGTAGCTTCATGGGGTCCTGTAACACCACCCATCCCCTTCCATTACACAAACCTTCCGGGTTTGTAAAGATGTCAGCCTCCGCCACCATGTCAAATGCCTCGAAGTAGCGCCCAAACATCTCTGCTGTTGTGTTAGGTGGAAGGTTTGTCACATACGCACATATACTTTCGCCGGTGAGCGGGTGCAAATCGCCTGTTGCTGGGTCTGGGAGAAAGGCATGATAGTGGCCGTATGGAATTAGTCTACGAACTGTGATACCGTGTTCAGCAGCGTCGGTTGAGAGTGGCACCTCGCGTGGTGGGAGATCGCTAGGGTCATACAGCAGAGTGCCCTTAGGAAATCGGTGGTACAAAAATAGTCGTCCGTCTTCAAGAAGATTCATCTTCTCCCCGTTTACATAGACATACGCAGAACTGTTGTTCTCTTGTGTCATACTGATAGTAGATATTTTGCTTCGTTGTTTTGTTTGGTGCAGTAAGTATATGTGTGTATTGTACAAGTGTGTGGTGAACAGAACGATTAGCATTGGGAGAAAAAAGAGACTTCGGACACACACAGTCACAGAGAAACGTGCGTAATCACAAGCATCCAAACTCATGTGTTTTTTTTGGCTTATCATTCTATCCTCATGGGATAGAAACTGCTTAACGACACCAAGAGGCAACAACAAAAAAACTGAACACAGTTTTCTTTGCCTCAGTGTCTGAAACTCTTAATCATCCAAACGAGGGGCTCGACGCTCCAGTATAACTCCCACCATCGCACAAGATTGAAGTTGTGTCACTTTGAAGACACGACACACAAGGCCATCGCCCAACGCACACGTCTGCGAATCGGCCCAAGGAACGAGCCGCGTGGGACTGTTGGTGCACCATTGCCACAACGGCGACAAAAGTGGTGTGAATCGCATGTCCCTCAGCAGGAAGGTCGCATGTGTTGGGGTGGTGCCATCAGCGCCAAAGTGTGAGAGCCCAGCTACACTATTTGCATACATAAAGGCAAACTGCGCGATAAATGCTCGCAGCAAATCCTCCTCGACACTCAAAACACCACACACAGAGGAGAGCGGAATTGACAACAGCTCTGGCATTTCATCCGCCGTCGCCAGCAGCTGTGTCACCGGCACTAGCCCAATGCACCCACTCACAAGGGTGCGGCGCTCATTTCCCACCGTCACGGCGTTCACTAGAGAATATGGCCCCATCGATGCGGCCGCAAAGCAGCTGATACTCCGCATGTGCATAGCTGACCGATTAATTGAGCAGCGCGGCGCCGAAAGAGCCTCCACGCGGAGCGCCAGTAGTTCTGAACGTTCAACAAATGTACAACCAGGAGGCTTAACGTCAGGAAATAGTCGCCCAAATGCGTGATAAAAAGCGGAAGCATGCCGCACAGATGGAGCAAGCACAAGAAGAAAGAAGACCTCACGGCTCTTTCTCGCCATGTCTTCCACAACCTGTTGTAAAACACCCTCAGAGCAACACTCCACGCTGTCTTCCGTTGTGAGAGGTTCACTATTGTAGACATCACAGGCACAGCTCCAAAAGCTAGTATTATCCTCACTCGGAATGGAGCATGCTGCTGGCTCCATTGGCCCCGTGAATACTTGCAACATGCGCTCTGGAGAGGGAAGGTGCGCCATATGATCCGAAGGAAATACCAGTGTCGGAAGCTTCCGCAGCAGATCCGTATCCGCATCTCGTTCCTCACTTGTCTTGTCACGCAGCTTCACCTTGAGGAGCGCGTGGCCAGAAGGGGAGTACTCATTATCGTCCACAATGACCGGCTCCAGCGCCACAACCTCCAGACATTGTTCCTTAAACAGTGGGCAGTCAAGCACAATGGTCTCGAACTCGCCCCCTTCGCCTGCACTGTGTGTCCCGTACAACTGCTCTGCCTTTTCCAGCGCCGGCCGCACGTCCTGTAAGGTCTTACCAAGGTGCGTTCTTGGGTTTAGACCAATGGACGCTGTCTTGACAAGAATGGCACGCACACGCAGCGCGGAAGCCATATCGAGAACTTCATCAGCCGGGCGCTGCCAGAGAAATGCGATCGAGGAAATACCCAGGCGTTCACACACATCCTCCACACGATAACGCTGATAGTGCGAGAGGATCGCACCAGTTGTAACACCCTCCACCTCTGGAAACTCCTCCTTTATAGAGCGCAGAAGTCGGTAGAGACATTCGATCTCATCTTCGTCGTCACGCTCCCTCGTGTAGTGCAGCTCCTGCACCTTGGACTGACCGGCGCGTATGTACGCGCGGCGAAGAGGCAGCTGCATGCAAGCGCCAATGGACTGCACCACCTCGTGGCCCACAGTTTGGAAAGAGTATGAATCGATTTCATGCACGTGCTCAGGGCCCGCACTGCATGTTGGGGCGATGTTCGCCACCACAACTGGCTGGTATCCGTATCGCAGCGCGAGCAGCACTGAGAGGATGCTGTCCTTTCCGCCGGAGATGAGGGCAATGGTCTTCATGCCCCACTGCAGTGCCTAAGAGCAGCGGCAGGTGCTGTAGCGGCGATCAAAACACAAAAGGACAAAAAAAGGATGTAGAATGTATAAAAGCAAAGAGCCATGGAAGGCCGGCCATCCAGCACGCTCGCAAGGCACACAAAAGAAATCAGTACTCACCATTCGAAGTTCAATCCGCCTTCTCCAACAACTTCCCCGATTCCTCTCCTTCACGGCACGCAACGTAACACCTCGACAGCGCGTACGCCGCGAGAGATGCCACAAAGACTGCACGGAAGACACTGCTGTCAACCTCTTGAAAGAGGAAACATCCGAGAACAATCAAACCAGCCCTCTTTTCGTCCGGGGAGAGACCCTTCCTCGATGACACAGTATCTTTATCTTCAGACAGAGAATTAGCTTCCTCGACCGGCAGCAGTTCGGCATTGTTCACGACATCGGTGTTATTGTTGCTCGTGTCGTCGTTGTTGTCATCGTCGTCGTCGCGGCACGCCTCCACCTCCACGTCATGGTCTTGCATATCTATTGTAAGCTCTTTGGCAGAGAGAATGAAGAGAGAAAGGCGGCACAGCTGCGTAGGTTACGGTGGCACGATGAATGACCAGCAAAGGAAAGGCTTCTGTCTCTTTCTCTCGCATACTGTTATTCATCCACGTTCCCCTCTCTTCAGCCCTGGCGCACTCGATCAAACAGTTCTCGCTCTTACGCTTTTCAGTTTAGCTACCACGCGGAGTAGCTGATGTTGCTGCTTCCGAAATACCGGATCTGCGAGTTCGTTAAGTGCATACCGCTCCACCACATCCACCTGCTGCAGAGCAAAATCGTACGTAGCACCGATTTCGCCTAGTAACTCCAGATCGCTCTTCGACAGCTCCGCATTGCTCGCCCCAGCCAACGCCCTGCTCGTGTCGGTGGCATTCCTGTGATTATGCGACCCATAACTACCCGAAGATGTTTCTTTGCGAGCACTTCTCGTTGAACTGCTGCTTGGCCTCTTTGTAACTGGAGATCGACTGCGGCGACGCTTCCGGGAGCCCGGAGCTGACGTGGCTTCGTCGTCGTACTCCGGCATGATGGGTAAGAACCGGCTGTGCACCTCCGCGTATCCCTCCTGACGAAATCTCTTCGCGTCGAAGGCGGTGACGAAGAGACAATGAATACCGCGCTTGTCAATGGTCAGCTTCATTGGGTAGTTGCGGAATGGCGGGTGGCGCAGAAGAGCGTCCTTGTCCAGCGCCTCCTGATCCGCCCCAAGGCTCTCGGTCGGGATGAAGCACATGACAAATTCACCCTCATCGTCTTCCGCCCTCGTTCCGGCGTCGGCCGCCGGAAGCTGAGCCACATCGTCGTGGGTGCGCTGCCCAAGAACACTCCTCTTCTCATCCCTCCCAGTGTCCACCTCATTTACCACCGGTGGGGAGTCGCAGTTCGACGGCGGCTCACTCACCAATGCCAGCTCACTCAAGGGCTCCAGCGACACTGAGTGCTCGGTTGTCCGAAGCGTATGATGCGTCATGCTGGACGCGTCCACCTCCTTTGCCCACTCCGTTGGGCCAAGTGCGCGCATCAAGATAGTCCGGCCCTGCGACGGCGGATCTGTGGTGGCCCCCTCCCCCACTAAAGATGTGGCCTCTGTGTTTGTCCACGAGGTAGCGGTGATGGGGACGGCAGTTTGTGTGCCGGACTCCAGTGTGTTATGAAGCCGTCTGTCCCGCAGTGCGGCTGCCCATGCCACAGAAAATTGCTCTGCAATGAATGCCAAATGTCTCTCCAATTCCAACCCGCCCTCATTGGGATCAATGGAAGGTCGCGACAGAAGCAGTTCTTCATCCTTTACCTCAACATGCAACGCTGCTCCCCATTGCTTCTGCAGTACAGCGGCAATGTCTACATGGCCAGTCGCCTGAGAAGATTCGAACGGACAGAACTTATAAGCCTCTGCAATAGAATTGAAACGAGAGAGAGTCAGGGGTTCTGCGTCTGGAGGAGGCAGTAGCACCGCCAGCAACAGCGCCGAGGTATTCCACTGTGAAGTGTCATCAGTAGAGTGTGCCACCTGTGGAGGGTACACGAGGAGTCCATCAACACAGTCTTGCAGCCATTTGGTGGTAACAGTCGTTGCCGTCGCCGAGCCTCTTGCATGTTCACCCCTCGCTTCCGCCTCGTGGCGACCGTTTGCAGCAGATAAGAGGGGGAGTGGATTCCCACCATTACCTGAGGTCTCTGCAGGAAATGATGCGACTTCATTTGCTGCCACCGAGGGTGACACCACACCACCGTCGTCCTCCTCATTCTCACCTTGCCACTTCTCCTCGTCACTTTCTTCGCTGGCCGCGCTCCCCTCCTCAGAGGCAGTGCTGTCGGTTCCGTTCTCAGCGGTGGAAGCAGAGGGGGTGTTAGAAGCGGACGAGGAGGCATCGTCACCATCCGCAGGTGACAACCTCGGCTTTTGAAGGGTGCAGCTCAACGCATCGCCCCGATCACCAACAACATAGTGCGTCGCATCCTCGCAATTCGTCACAAGATAGCCCCCGTGCCCGTTTATCAGCATCGCCACCGAAGATTGCTCAACAACCTCTGGGGCCAGGCAGAAGCGATACCGCGCGAACAGACGTGCGCGGCAGAGCGCCACGCACGATGAGACCGCAGTATGTGGGAGACGCACACGGCACTCAGCGATGCGCAGGCAGCAGGAGAGCGCGCGCAGAAGAGCAAGCGAAGAGGAGGGCCGCTCCGCCTCATGCTGCACCTCCACAACCTGCGACCACAACGAGGCATGCCATGCCGCACGTGACGCCGAGACAACTACGGCACTGCTGTACTCCTCCAAGCCACACCCAACACACGACAGCAGCAGCTGCTCGTGTCCCGGCTCCGGGTGGACGGCGCGGACCTCGTAAAGCGTGTCCCACCCAAACAGACGCAAGAGCGACGTCGTCTTCTCTGGTTTCCACGGCGATACCACTACGACCGGGTTTCCAGTCGCTTTGAGCGCCTTGAGGAACAGAGAGGCACCTGAATACGACGTCACTGGCAGGGCCTTGCCCTCCACCAACGCGATGCGTCGCTGCGGCTGTCCCGGTCGCCCATCCATATCTGTTAACTTTACCGCATCGAATGTCAACAAGACATCGGCGTCAACGAAGAAACGCACCCCACACCACATGGGACTGCCTCCAGGTGTGTTGTCGTTCATCCAGGGCCTGTGCGTCGTTGGCGGTACCACAAGCGCGCTCCTGGAAATACAAAGCAAAAAAGAAACCTATGTGAAAAAGGGAAGAGAATGTCAGCCATCACTGAGGCATATATACATATACGGTAGTGAGACATGACAAATTCGTCACCGCCCTCCCCGACCAAATATAAACAAAAAAAAAACAGGCGCCGCAAAACAATCGCAATGCAATCTATGGTTTATGATCCGCACCTGTTGAACTGCACCGAATCCCCAATCTCTGCATCCCTCGAGAAACGACGCTAAGCTGGAGACGCACTGTCCCACCGCTAACTGTGTACAACTTAAAGCGCTCGTCGTTGGTGTGTATCAGCGCCTTGTCACGCAGCACGGGGTTTCCGCCCAGCACCAGAAGTCGCAGTCTCTCATACATGCGAGAAAAGAAGTTAGGATTCCAGTAGCACGGCTTCCACGTCGCCACAACCACCTCCTGATCCTCCATGCTGGGCGGTGGCAGGAAGGCAACGCCATATCCCGCCAGGTCCTTCCGTCCGTAGCTGTCAACCGACCACACCTGCAGAGATATCTTCGGCCATCCCTCAACACTATTTGTTGTAAAGTGAACGTCTATGGGAAAGCACCAGGCCACAGTGTCGTCCTCACCGCTCGCCATGATGTGCGTGCAGCCGGAGGTACGACCCTCGACGACACTCCAGTGCTCGCCGGTCACCATCTCAAACACGCAAAAGTAGCTCATCCCGCCGAACTGCTCCCCTGAGGCAAGGTCACCAATGACGTGAAGCTCTGCCATCCGGCAGTCCTCTAACTCAGGAACGGCAAAAAAAAAGAAGAAGCGTGAATTATTTAAAAAATGGAAAAGAGCGAATGAAGTGAGGAAGGCGAAACAGAATACAAGAGAAAAAAAAATACTCAAAGAAACACGGCAAATTCCCCATGGAACTACACGTTTTNTGCGAGGAGAAAAACATAAATCATTGAAGAGCGTGGAGGGGGGAGAGGCAATCCTTGCACACACTGCGAACGATACAATTATAGACCATACAACACGCCTGATGTTTGCTGCAATGGTGGGCGCAGGTGCGGGGGAAGTTGGGGGGCTGATGGTGGCACAAAACTCGCTGTTTCGCCCTCTCCGCTGAGCACCACCAGCGGAAACAGCGGCTCGGGGTCGCCCACGCCCCTGAACTTAAAGGCCACTCCCAGCGCTCGTCCATTAAGAAAGAAGCTCAGCTCATGCTGAACTAAGTTCAGATGAACAGTGATATGTGAGCCAAAGTGGTACGGGGAACCGTACGGCACACCTTTTCGGTCGTCTGCGCTAGCCACAATGGTGCCATCAGAGCGGAACAGATACGCCGGGCTACGTTTGTGTCCGCCCCTATAAAACTTGGTGGCAACACCAACAGCAAACACGCCGCTCCGTGTGTTCGTTGACGGCGGGTGAGCGTCAACCCGCACCTCGAAAATGAGCTCCCCCTCCGAAATTCCGATCGTCCCGATCGCATACATTGGAATCGACACATTGGATGGCATATTGCCCGCTCGCCGCGCTTCAGACGATATGAGCTCCAGGGCCCTTGACGCGTCCGCTATGCATGTCGTTCCCTTTTGCGAAATTAAGATGTTTCCGCTGCGCCTTTCGTCCCAACGAAGCACTGGCCGCAGCACTGAAGAATGTTCTCTCGGAGAAGCACATTCCACCGGAAAAGCTGATGGAGGTGTCATAATGTGGCGGTGCGGCGACCGAAAAGAGACGATTTTGTTGCCGCACTTTCCGCATTTTGCTTCTTCTACAGAGGTAGTAGGATTGGGTGTTTTAACGCCACGTCGTTTGGCGATAATAGTCTCCTTCAGCGAGACAGGAGAGGTGCACTCAACAGCACTGCTGCCTTGACCCTGTCGTGCATCGCCTGGCCGCGGCACAGAGTTATGGAAGCGCGCCTTGTGCTCCCTCAAGAGTGTGTCAAATGCATTGGGCAAAGGGCAGCTGACTTCATTCGGTGGGTCTAGCGAGGTGAACTGGCATGACATGTGCGGTGGCTGCAGTTGTTGGTGTTGGTGATGGCAATCTGCTGCATTGGTGGTGGTGGCAGAAGAAGTGTAGAGGCCTTTGATACACGCCAGGCGCTCTTCATACTTCGCCGCGGACGACTCCGCCACATCAACCACGCCTCTTTTGTTGCTTGGTGCATAGGGCAACTCCTTATGAGAGAGGGGCTCAGGTTTCGTAATCATAAATGTCTGATACAATTCCATGAGCTTCTGCATGACTGCAAGGCCCTCTTCGTACTTTGCTTCGTATGCTTCAGCGACGATGGCTTCTCTCCGATCCTGCGCGGGTTCCCGAGGCTTTGGAGGGCTGGGAGAATGAATGAATGTCCGCGGAGATATCGGCGACACGTCGGCGCTATGCGCTCTCATCCCTTGTGGCCCCTTTTGTGGTGGCGGTAATGGTGGTGGTAGCTGCACTTGCTGAGGTTGATATTCTTGTCGTGGGGCATTCACCTCACCCCCCGAAGAGCCATAATTATAGGTACTTAGTGCACCCATAATAGCCTGCCTGTCACGTGTGAAAGAACTGGAGGGTTCGTAGCGCAGCTGCGCAAATGCGTCGGATGGTACAGTGATTGGCTGCTGGCGCGCCTCCAGTGCACGCTCCAAATTATCTCGGCCGCGTTGGGTCAATCGCCGCACCATCTCCACTTGGTGCCGCTGAACTTCGAGAAGCCGCCGGGGAGACGAGGATTCGTCGTTCGTCTCCTTGAAGGGAGTCTGCAACGTGTTCGCTGTCCTCTCACTGATCGACTGAAGTGGCAAAGCCGTGTCGTCGGGCTTCGCAGACAGCGGTTGGTAGATGTTTGCGTAAGTCTCTGCTGCAGAATTGTTGTCCATGCGCTGATGAGGTGCTTCCGGTGAACTGTCACGCAGCAGCTTCTCCAATGGTGTCACTGCCTCATCGTCTTCAATGTGGCTCAGTCGTGTGTTGCGTAAGAACAGCTCATTATCCTCCGCAAGGTCATCCAGCACGGGTACTGCAGAGTGTTTCCCTGCCCCTGCAAGGTTGCCACTTTCCTCCCGTTCCACACTGCGATCTGGGAAGAGCACGTTGTCCAGCATCCCCTGCACCGTATCGAGAAGTGCACCGCGCTCGTCCTTCTCCTCCTCTTCGAAATAGTGTCGCGCCACGCGTTGCTCCTCAATGAGGCGTGCAACACCAGCTTCGGCAAGTGAAACCTCGCCCGCTGGTACCGCGCAGGACGCGACAGGTCGCCTCGAGGGTGGTGTCACAGGCGCATCCTCGCTGCTCATGTGGTTCAGCAACGACTGCGGCTCTTTGAAGGTCGGCGCCTTGTCGCCCGGCACCAACGGCTCCTCGTTCTCCATGTGTGTGCGATACCCGAGCGCAACGTCATTGGTGCTGTTCACCCCAACTTCGGAGCCATCCTTTACGCAGAAGAGAGTGGTGTGACCGTCTTGGTAAAGGCCCTGTTCATGCTCTTGCTGAAATGCGCCTCTGTCACCATAGCTACCATTACCACTAAAAGGAGTGGCAGCAGCAGCGTCACCTTCGTCATCATCATCATCGTCATAAGCATCCGTCCAGGCCTCGTCACTGTCGCTGCCGGCCGCCTCCCCTGCTGTGGTAGTGTGACTCGCCAGAATCTGTCTCTCTTCCTTCTCGCCGCCGCCATGAAGGACTCCATACTGCTGCAGCACCCCCGCTGGTATCGCCGGCAGCCGCCATGTTTTTTCGGCAGCATTACTAAGACGAATGAAGAAAAGCTTATTTCTCTTCGCGTCGTGCTTTGCCCTCCATCCAAGTTCGCTCCTTGCATAAGTGATCCCGAACGGCACGTATACAATTTCCCCACCCTCTGCATCGTCGAGCCGCTCGTACTTGCAGCCGCCGTGACCCTTTAACTTCTTTGGGAATAGTGCAGCGCTTTGCCCAGCCTTATTGTTGGTCTTTTGCTTTTCCTTCGCGCCATCTTCGGCCAGCACTACAGCTGTCGTTGCATTGGAACCGAATCCACTGGAGGGACTATCCATCGGTGTGCTCGGAGTGGCGTTACTGCCGCGCCTCCCTCACCCCAGTAAGTAGCTACATAACATGAGAGATGCAAAGGCAGAAGCAACGGCACAAGAACAAAAAAAACACATACACTGGAAGAAACATCAGTTCCGCAAATGAATTGTTCTGTGCCCTTTTTTTCACCACACAACGTCCCAGGTTCAATATCAATAAGGATCTCACTCGCGCTCACACTCTTTCGCTCGCCGACGTACTCTCTCCAGCAACTCGGCGTGGAAAGAGAAAGAAGGTGAAAACAACTCTGTCACAATCGCATTATGGGGGCTGATGTATTTGTCTTGCACTGGGGCGAGGCAAACTTCTCACATAACAAAAAGTAAATGAAACCAAAAAAGTGTCATATGCAAGAGCGAACTGCGTCCACTAAGGCATCACGCCACAGACACACTGCAACGAGCACAGCATCACCACATTCGGGGAGATGTGTTCGCTCAAGGCTGTTGCAGTGTGTCTACGCGTCAATCGTGTTGCACTCCTCTTGTTGTTGAGTAAATAAGTTGCAAGGATGCTCAATAAGAAAAGACTTGCACGCAGCAATATTGGTGGGGTTATCATACTTCCCATCAAGCGTGAGCAGGGCACCCAGTACGAGGACAAATCGCGTGGTTTCAGGGGGTCGGCTGATACGCACCTCATACGAGTTAAGCTCCAGCGCCAAGCCACCAAACCTCGCAAAGACACCCGGTCGGCGACAGAGTGGGCACTCGTCCGCCATCATCCTCTGCGCCTCCTGGATGCACTCCACGTGGAACCAGTGGTTGCAGCACATCTCCAGAACCGCTGTTCCATCGTCCAGCGGCTGCATGCAAATGGCGCACTCGTCGCCGGGGTTTCCGCCAGTCGCCTTAGAAGGGACGTAGCGGTTGTGGCTCGTCACCCTCACTCCGGAACGCCACGCGGCGGGGGGAAGATGTACGCCCTCCTCTGCAATCCACGCAATGGGCTGCGCGCCCCACGGCGCAACGGAGACGTTGACTATCACTACATCTCCCTTGCTCACCAATGAAAGCAATTTTAGATTGGCAGCGGAGCTTACTCGAAGTGTTCGAAACGGATCCCGGAGGGCTTGCGACAACCTACTACACGCATTGCGGAAGAAGAACACGGCGCATCCCACACACATGTCAAAGCCCAAAGCCTCACTCCGTTCGCCAAGGCGCGCCGCACTGCGGACGCTCTCCGCGTTCCCGTCGTCGTAGAGCATTGCTTGATACGCCACGTATATGGTGTTGATGTGGCATGTGTCACAGGTGTAGCCACCACGGATGGCCGACACATCGGGAATAGGCAGCGGGTTGGCCAGCCGCAGGCGCACCACGCCGCTCTGCAAAGGGAACGTGAGCCGCTGCGGCATCACACTCAGGCAGCGGCGCACCTCGCTCAGGGGAATCTCAGGCACCAGCGCTACGTCGTCGGCAGATGCGTTTTCCAACTCTGGGCACCGCGCTGCGTCGCTCGACGCCGCGTCGACCCGTCTCTCGCGTTGGTGCCGCTGCGACGAGAGACACAAAAGATACTCGCAGAAAAGGTCCAGCGGATTATCCGGATAGCATAGCACAATATAAAATATTTCTTCGCATATTTGCAGCAGCTTCTCAGCTTCGTGAGTTCCCAAAGAAAGCATCGCGCTCGTGAAGAAGCTCAAGAACCCCAGCCACCGCTCTTCAGCGATTCCAGTCTGCTCTAGTTTGTACAGCAGAGCTCGTGCAGAATAACTAAGCACCTCATGAAGCATGGGCTTACCAATTGATTGAGAAGCCGCACTCATCTCATGAACTTTTTCCCACAGATGTGTTGCCTTCCGTCTCGCATCGTTACCATTCAGCTTACGAATGGCTACGTCTACTGAGGAGCTCATACTACTACTAACGCAAACTCACACACCAGCTCACCCATGCAGACGCACGGGAAGAGAGACGATGCAAAGAGAAAAGCAGCAGTGAATGGCTTGTTTCCTATCACCTTCGATACACCCTTCACCCACACACCAAAAGCGAAAAGAAAACATAAAATATATATATATATTTTTTTTGTTGGCCAAGAATGAAGAACCGTATCAGGCCCAGCCAAGACTGAGAAAGGCGACGCTGTTAATTCCCTTCCCTTTAGACTTATGCATGTACCCGGCGGCATCCCGCTTCAGCAAAAGGTTGGCTTTTGACCTACTGTTGCGTTCCGTCACCGCCACTGGTGCCGATCGGAGGGGGTGTCTTTGGTCCATCCCTCCGCGGCATGGAGTTAATCTTCTGCTCCATCAGTGCCCGCGCCGGGTGCGAGACCACGAGCAGCTCCACGCCTTCATCCCGCGCGGCGTGGAGGATCTGTCGGTTAGATGAAAGCACCACAGCTCCCACAGCGTCGCCCAACCCGAAAACAAGGCGATTGCGCAGGGAGATACTCTCTTTGGCGGCAAGCACCGACACGTGAGTGAGAAGCGGCACGTCGCCACCGTCAAGCCATCGGCGGTCCATCGAAACAGCGCAGCAGCAACGCAGCAGTGTGAGCGCACGACGTAGCTCCCGGGGGCCGGCGATGGTCTCAAGAATCCACCGGAACTCTGCCAGCGTGATGTCGGCGACGATCCAATTCGGCTGACTATCGACTGCCCCTCGCAGCAACCGCTCGCACCGCATGTCGTGCACGTCACGAACCACCGTGCTCTCCCGAATGGGGGAAAGCATCTCGTCCGCCGGCGTCGTTGCGGCGACGAGTTCCTCCAACCACGCCAACTCAATGGCGTTGGCGGTTGGTGTACACGTTGAATCTCCGCCACACCGCTGCATACTCTCAGACATCGCAGCAGCAAACCTATGTGTGTCGAGCCATGCCGTGTAGCGCTGTAAAGCGGGCTCCACATGGCGGCGCACACACGGATCCTCCAGCTCCCGCCGGTGCTGTTCGGCCATCACGCGAAAGTTACGTAACGCCACAACATTAGCCTCTATGGAGTCCGCAAAGCACGCCTCCGAGCAAAGCGCCACGAGAGCCGTTGTGTCAAAGCAGACAAAGTTCACCGCGAAGGAGAGCGGCGGAAGAAAATCGGTCCCTCGCCAATGGAGCGCAGCACCACTACGCCCCACGCGGGCCAACAGCGCAGCGCAACTCACCGGCCGCGCGCCCAAGCGAAGAATCCCATCCACCATCGCCGGCGGCGGGTGGTCGCGGAACAGGACAACAACTTCAGGCCGCCGCATAAACGGCAGTCGTCTTGCGCGGGCTCTCGCGAGAAGGCGTGAAAGCGCCGCCTCCCATCCGGGCTCATCCATCTCCGCTAGAAGGCGTCGCGTCGAGGCGGCGCGTACCTTCACCCAGCGCAGCCCGTCGCACGACACGACATCCACCTCAACGTTCCCCTGCGCGGCACTGTCGCCGCTGCCGCCGGTGGAGCGCACCGACGTGCACACACTCACCACGCCCGGTTCGCACTCCAGCGCCAACATCACCGTCTCGAGATGGTGGGCATTCATCCCCTGTGAATGTGGACGGTGCAGCTCCGCACCGTCGTTCTGCCGCGAGGCGGTGTGTACGGCGGCGTTGAGCAGTTCCAACTCCCTCTCCATACGGCGACGAAGCCGGGCCAAGCCCTTGACAGACACGTGCTTCGCACTGTACCGCTCCAACCGCTCAAGCAGCCGCTCGACTCTGTGTCGCGTCTGGAGCAGCCGTGTCACCTCCTCCTTTTCTTCCTCTTCCCTTCCCCTCTCAGCGTCATTGTCCCACGAAGCGAGACCGTCTGAGGAGCCAAAGTGACTGCTGTGGGCACTGAGGTTCAGCGATACGTCACCCTCATCACCGTTAAAGGCGCCTTCTTCGAGCGGCTGCCACTCGTAAAGGTCCATGAGAGGCTACAGAGATAACGTGCAAGTCTTCGAGCGAAAAGCACAGCCGCCCCACACCAAAAAAAAGAGGGACAAAAAGAGCTCCACACAAGAAAAAAAACAGAAAGACGTGGCACAACCGTAGGCTGACAACAGTTCCATTATGCGTTCCCCATGCGCTGTCACTACCGCTCATAGCGCCACCAATGAACCCGCCTCTCCACCGGCCATTCGCGCAGCTGCTCGTACTCCCGCTGTGACAGCTCCATTAGGTTGTGGTGGGTGTAATCCTTGTCGTTGACGCAACGGCCCCACAGCCCGATGCGCGCCGATGGGACTGTGTTAAAATTGATCGTCACGCTGGTGATGCCGCACTTGGTGCAGAAGCGGTACCGCCTCTCCCGATCCACGTCGTTTCGGATGTGTTTTTGGTTCTCGAGCCGAAATGCATCCTTCATGCGTCTGTTCAGGGTGACATCGGTCCTATTGCGCGCCAAGGTGCCGAACTTCGTGAAGGAAAACTGTGATCCCGGACCGAAGACAGTACTACGTGACATCCCTTTCTAGACTGAGGTCCTCAAAACCCCATGAAGCTCTGGTGGAAGCCAAAAATAAGGGGGAACCGTGTCTGAGAGAGAGAGAGAGAGGATGAAAGAGTGTGCAGTAGCACGCCCCAACTGCTACTTTTCATCTTGATAGTGGCAATGTTGGTGGAAGTAAACACAACTCCAACGAACTACGACGGCGGCTGTTCCTCACGACAGCGAAGCACCTCAGCGGATTCCACTCCGCCTGGTGGCTGCATACCCATGACAAGCCGACCCACACAGCAGTGCATCCGTCGCAGCGCGTCGCGTCCACCCTCAACGGTTTCGTGTAGAGTTCTTGTAGCCAACCGCAAATCCTGTACAAGGGGGTGGTACTTCTCCCACTCGAGACGTCCAATATTCCTGCCCTGCTCAACCACATCCTTGACCCTGCGCCGGCAGTGCTCCTGGATGCGGTACGTACCGAGCGTCGCGCTGTTGCAAAGAAAGGCGCCGAGAATCGTCGCGTCCGCTCCCACATCATCCGCGGCCTGCCGCACTTCATCACTCACCTTAAGCGTTGTCGAGGACAACATTCCCCTTCATTCGGTGGCAGTGCTCCTCTACACGCACTGACACTAACACCGAGAGGCAGAAGAAAAGGAGAAAGAGAGAGAGAGAGAGAGAGAGAGAGCGACGATTGGAATTATAGCAGCACCGATTGCGCCATCGCCGATGCCAAGAGGCTCTCAATACCACGGAAGAAAAACACACAAACAAATGGCATTTGGCATTTAGACGTTGCTTTCTTTTTTGCCTGATTGTTCACTTCTCTTTTCTTTCCCTGCACCCCACTTCCGCGCAAGCATCACAGCATCATCTCCTTCTTCTTCGACCGCTTCGACACCTTCTTCTCCTTCGCGCGCGCCGCCTCTCTCGCGGCGCGGCGGGCTGCAAGTTGTTTCGTCTTCCGGTTCAGCCGCACCTTTTGTTTGAGGCGCCGCGACACAACGTCCTCCAGCTCGGGGTTCTCCGCAACCCACTCGTCCGCGAATGACTTAAGGCGCCTCCGCTTGTTGCGCCCGGTGCCGGCGAAATAGCCAAACTCCACGAAGCCGCTCGTCTCGTTGCCGCTCTTCTTCGGCGCCTGGTGCTTCAGCTCGGGGTTGATGAAGTTGCGGAACTTAAGCAGCTCAAGCTCTTGCCGCTCCTCCGCGCCGAGATCCGCCTTTTTCATGCCGTACCACTGTGTCAGGGTCGACGCGCGCTCCTTACGCTCCTTTCGTATCGCATCCTTGTGCTGCTTGCGTCCCTCAACAGCGTTGCTGTCACTAAAGAAGGTCGAGGAGGTTGTCACCGCCTTCGCCATCATTGCCTTGATTGACGCCGACGTCATTTTCACTCCTTCCCACCCCCATTACCGCACGAGACAAGAGGGCAAAGACATCAATAACAACAGCGCAGGCAGTCAATGTATATCATGCGCATGCATTTACAGAAGTCATAATCAAATAAAGAAGCGGTTGCCAGGGCGGTGCATGGCACATCATTGGTGCGGGGGGTGCATCTCCANAGGGAAAAAAAACACATGGGTGGGGGAGCAAAAGACTAAGAAACAAGGCGCACGCCTCACTCGGTGTGCCGCATTTGATTGATGATCCAATTCATGCACAAATGTGGCAGCTGTCAGTCAATAGCATTACGCGCTGCCACCTCACCCTCCCCTTCAGCCTACCGAGTCTCGAGCTCCTTCAGCCTGGCCGACAGCACAATATTCTCCTGGAGCGCAGAGTGTAGCATGCGCTGGAAACTGCGAAGCTGACCTGCTTCCATGGAACTACCGTCACCAACGCCACTGCCATTTCGAACGTGCCCGCCAGCCGTCGAGACGGCGGCCTGCACAAGCGTGTGCTGCAGTGTGTCGGCGTGGTGAGCAATCCCTTGCTCCAACGCGGCGCAGCGCTTCTTATAGTCCTCCACGAGGGCGTCGAGGGAACTTTTGCTCTTTTGCAGCTCGTTCACCCTCCGCATAAGGGTCTCATTTTCAGCATTTCCTGTATTCCACATTTTTATCTGCTCCACGTCATCCTGCTGGGTCGGTGGCGTTGCTACATCACTGCCAACTTCACACTTATCACTTCTGCCCCCCAACTGACGGGCAGCGACGGTAGTGGTGTGGGAGGAGTCTTGCGCCCGCTGTAACTGCTTGATGAGCTCCTCTTTTCGCTTGAGTTCCTCCTCCGAAGCAGAGAGGGCAGCGCGCAATTCCTGGTTCACTTGCTGCCAGTGCCTCAACGACTTCCGGTGCGTCGATTCAAGTGCCTCAAGCCGCGCACGGATTTCATTCACACAATCGGTGCCAACGGCATCATTCGTAGCCGCTGGAGTAACTTCCCTCATCTCCACTCCTGTGGTCTCCTGCGCCACCACTTCCTCCATTCCTATCGGCGCATTCGTGCTCACCGTCAATGACGTTTCGTCTATTGCTGGTGCCGCCGCTCCTTCACATGGTAACACTGCTGGTGTAACTGTTTTTGCTTCTAACTTGTCTCTTCGGCACGACGCGACAATCCTTGCAAAAGTTGCTCGCAAGAGCTGCACAGACATGTGCTGGATCACGGTCTGGTGCACCTTGTCTAGCTGCTCCCAATTCGCCGCTGCGCGCCGCCACTCGTCCCGCGTCTGCTGAAGCGCAAGCCGCTCCTCGTGGAGATTGGCACGCAGGTGTGCCACCTCCCCCTTCAGCGCCCGCATCTCCTCGTCGCTGGCAGTGCACACATCCTCCGCCCGCAACTCCGAGTCGTTGATCTGCCGCTGAAACTGCAGGAGCGTGCTCTGAAGAGAACGGTTCTCGCTTTGCAGCTGTTGCAGGCGCTGCTCCATCTCCACTTGTCGCTGAGACACCACGCCCCCTAGTGCGGCCTGGCTTTCCGTGATGTGTGCCTCGCGATTCTCGTGCATTAAGGACAGCACACGCTGAAGCTGGCCTTCTAGCTGCATGGTTTGCAGCTTCAGCTCATCTCGCTCCTTCGCCAGCACATCGGCCCTTTTCTTGAGTTGTGCATTGTCGTATGTCAGGGTTTCAACGGTGGCCTCAAGCCCCCGCACCGCTTCGTGTGACTCCTGCAGCTCGGCCTCCGTTCGCACCACGCGGGCAGTGAGCGACTTCAGACTTGTGCCGGCCTCAGCCTCCACGCTACCTGTTGGAGCAACAGCAGCCGAGCTATGATCCGGCTCTGCGCAGTCCGAGCACTGCGCAAACCCTTCGCCCTCCGTCGCAGGAGAATTTTTGGTGTTGTTGCCAAATACACTCAGTAAGAAGCTGCACTGCGAGCGTGATTTGGTGAGTTCGTAGCGACACTCATTCAACGATGCGGCATAAGCGGTGCAGCGCTCCTCCTGTGCCCGTACCTTCTGACGTGCTTGCGCAAGGAGCTGCTGCGCGTTCCTCATCGCCAGCAGTTTCAGCCGCAGCACGTTGCACTCCTCCTTGTAGTCACGCTTTGCCTCCTCCACGAAGCGCAGGAAGAGTGACTTCGTTGTGTCCTCCGCAGGCGGCTGTGGTGACGCACGGGCCTTGGCGCTCTTCACTACCACACCCTCGAGGACACCGCCGCTACTGCCGCGCGCTTTAGTTGCCTTGGGCCGAGCAGCAGCAGCAGCGGCGGTGTCAGCACACGGCTTTGCATCCGCAACAATCGGCAGGAGGTCGCGGAGGGCATGTGCCGCATTCGGAGAGGTGTCGGCAAGGCTGTTGCACTCCACACGAAGCGCCTCGATGAAGGCGCAGAGCTCCTCGTTGCGGCACTGAATGCGCTGGTAGCTGGTCACCAGCTCCTCTACCGTGAGCGGGAGGTCGCCCTTTGGTGCGGCCGCAACACTTCCACTCGTCATGGGTGTAATGATATTAACGTCCTTCCGTGGCGCTACCGCGGTTCGCAGAAAGAAAGACTGGCGCAACGAGAGAGAGCGAAAACACTCAGAGAACAAAAAGAGAGAAACAGAGAGAGTGTGTGTGTGTGTGTGTGTGTGCGTGGGTGAGCAAGGAGTCGACCGCCCCTCCTGGCAACGCAGCTTCCGTCCGTTATTGCCGGCGACGGAGAGAAGACGATGGGGTCCCTCCACGGTGGCAACGCCCCCTACACGCAGCGACGCCGCAGCCTCCGCACGCACAGTCACGGCCACAGCAACCTATTCACCAGCGTTGCCACGCTGCTGCTGGTGTTCCTTGCGTCCTCACAAGCAGATCCCACTCCCGCATTCAGGGCTTCTCTTTTTCCCTTGACTCATTCACCCATCATTTTTTCAAGCATGGCGATTTGGGCATCGCAATTTCTACACCACTTCTCCATCTTCTCGCGTATTCTGCCGACGTCCTCCAGCCGCACCTCCCGCGCCGCAAACTCCTGCAGCACCACAACACCCCCACGCTGGTCGATGCGGCCGCGCAGCAGCCCATCAGACATCATGTCGATAAGCAGCTCCTCTGCCTCAGAGGGTGTGGCGGCTTCAATGGTAGCCTGGACGTCACGAATGCGCAGCACCCCGCTCACGCCATCACGGACGCAGAGCGACAGAACGGACAGCTTGCTCGCCTTGCGGTACACGAGCGGCGTCAGGTGCTGCTGTACGCTGCCCGGGAGGCCGTGAAGCGCATCCACCATTCCGTAGCACAGCACGTCCATCACTTGCACGATCCACGCAAAGGACGCATTCGAGCGGAGCGCCTGAACGGAAGGGAGACGCAGGAGGGAGCTGTAGAAGAATATGTGTGGCTCCTTGATAGCCTCCTCCGCCAGCCTGGCGGTGTTGGCAGCGCTCGTCGAGGCACCGACGAGGTGGGCGTACTCCTGCATAGTACGCATCGCCGCACAGCTTGTGCCAGTGTTTGCGCCGCACTATCCCTGGAATAACAACAACAGTGCACAAAGAAGAGGTGTTCGATTCGCTCCCTCATTAAACTTAACGTCTAACGAGGACTCCACAGAGTAACGTCCAAGAATGCCCACAACTCTCCCTTTCACAACACAGCTATATGGACGCACCGCAAACACGTACACACACACACACACACA